CCCACACCCCTACACCCAGACTTTTCTCTTCCCCCCCCCAAAAAAAACGCCCGCCGCCGCCCACCTCCTTCTGGGATCCTCCGAGGCGGGAAAGTCTGCCCGGGGAAAGAGGTCGGAAGAAAAAGGGAGAGGGAAAAGGGGGAGGGAGGGGCAAGGGCCCCACTTCCAGTTCCGGTGGGAGGGGACGCAGTCCTTCCTCCTCTCCTTCTTTCGTAGCTCTATGTTTTTTCCCCTGCCTTTCCTCCCGAGCGAGCGCTGCTGAGAAGATGGAGGGGGGGCGAGGGGGTGTTAGGGGGTCCTTGTGTGTCTTTGTGTGTGTGTGTCTTGTACCGCAGGATGAAGCCAAGGAAAGCCAGGGTGATTGGAGGCCCGAATGGGGGGTGGGGTCGGGAATCCCCCCCTTTTTTCTCTCCAGCTGAAACCCTCGGCAGCCGCCTCCCACCTTCCGGGGGGGGGAAAGGGGCGCTGGGCAAGGAACGACGCCGGCAAAGGGGCCACGATCCATTCACACCCACCCACACACACACACCCACACACACACGCACACACATATGCACACGCACACGCGCGCGCACACACACACACACACACACACAGAGGAAGCCAGCTTCTCTGAAGGGAGGAGGGCAAAGGCAGCCTCGCTCCCTGGCTCTCCGGGAGACCTCTCTGGGCACGGAGAAAAAAAGCTCCCGGAGACTAACATCACTCATCTTCCTAAGGGAACCTCACGCAACAACTTTCCCTGACCTTTAAACACAACCACAATTCACTCAACAATCTGGTACAAAAACCTTTTGAAGAGGAACATGTCATGTCACATCAATTACAAAATGAATGCTTCCTATGGTATTTTTTATCCACAGAAGTGTGTACGTTGTATGATTTTTTGAAATAAAACCAGTGGTCTTTAAAGGTATTGTTGATTGCTTACCCTTGCTGCGGAAATCCTGTGCCTGAACCTTGAAGGAAAGGCAGAAGAACCGCAGAAGACCCCTGTGTTGGGTCAGGTCAAGGGGCCCCTCCACTTAGTCCAGCACCCTGCCTCTCCTCAGTGGCCCCACTAGATGCTTCTGGGAGCACCCGAGACCACAAGAGACCCAGAGGCTCCAGAGACCCCTCTTCCCCTGCATGTTTGGAAGTCAACTTCCTTTTAAACCTGGAGATGTTACATCCCGTCGTGGCTTGTCACCTGTGATGGACTTTTCCTCCAGGAATCTGTCCAGTCCTCTTTTCAAGGCCCCTAGATGCCAGGTGCCATCACCACATTCTGTGGCAAGGAGTTCCACAGAACACTCCATTGGAGTCAATGTCCCCTGGTTCTGGTATTGTGCGATAGGGAAAAGAGCTTCCCTTTATCCATTTGATCCAAATATCTGAATCACGGCAGGCGCATTTTCTCTGGAGACTAAAGAGCCCCAAATGCTGTCCCCTTTCCTCATCGAGGGGGTGCTTGTCACGTTCCCAGTGGTTTCAACAAGCAAAAGTCCAATACGCCAGTCCAGTATCAGAAGTCCAGAAGATGCAAACCAGATACCAAAATGCCAAACCCAAATCACAAACTGTAGACAGAAGTCAGAGTCCAAAGCCAAGGGTCCAGAGAACAAGGTCCAAGATAAGCAGGAGCATGGATGCGAGCCAAAGTGTTGACTTGTTGCTTCCACACGCTTCCAAGCCTTCTGGGGGCAGATTATATAGCAAAAGCAGTCATCAAACTCTTAGAAACTTTCCATCCTATTAAAACTCAGGACTGGTTGACTTGATGTTCCTGTGGGAAGGATTCATGCGAGCCTCTGACCTACATGTCATGAGTTTTTGCCGAAGCTTATCCCTCACTCTGGCTACTGGGGAAGGAGAATCTGATGGTGATTCAGCTGTATGTTCCTCTAATTGCCCAGCATTTTCTTCAGCTGTAATTAACCCCTCAGATTCCAGATCTTTGGCTGAACTCATGACAGTGCCCCAGCCCAGTCATCATCTCACTCTCTCTCTCTTCTGCCCCCTTTCCAGTTCCATTCAGTCTTTTTTGAGGTGTGGCAACCAGAACTGTATGGCATATGCCAGGGGCAGCCTTGCCCTCCTGGGTCTTCCGTTGCTGCTCTTTCTCCTCCAGTGCCTCCATTGACTGAAACTACTGCTCAAGACTTCTATGTATGTAGACTTTGTCTTCCCTTCCTGCAGTGTAGCTCTTCTCCCTGTTCTGGTTCTTATTTGAACCTATGTCTCCCAACTCCTATTCAGATATCATGCCCACTACATGACCCAGGCTCCCCTGGAAGGGTTTTGGGGTGGGATCAAGGCCACCTGACCTGCTCCTCCTCTGTCTGTGTCAGCCCCATTCTTCTCTTGTTCCAGGCTATGAAACTGTGGCATTCACCCTTGTGACCCCTGATGGTCTTTCCCTCACAAAGGCTCACGTCACATTTTTCTCTCGCTGCATTGAATAATGTCCTTCAGATACACATGATACACAAGCAAAGCAGATCAGACAGATCTAAGTTTCTCTTGAATACCTCTCCAGTGTTGGAGCGCTCCCCACGGTCCCATTGTCATAACAGTTAAGATGTTTTTCCTAATATTCAACCCAAATCTGCCTGCCTGTAACTTGAGACCATTGTTGCATGTTTTGCACTCTGGGATGATCGAGAACTGATCCTGCCCCTCCTCTGTATAACGGCCTTTCAAATATTTCAAAAAATTGCTATCCAATCACCCTTCAGTCTTCTTTTCTCGAGGCCAAATAGGCCCAAATTCTTTCAGCCTTTCCTCCTAAGGCTTAAGGAAGACGAGGGCCCTGTTGCTTCCAAGACCTCTTTGGTGCCAAAGGCTGGGGCACAGCCTGGCAAGACGTGGAGGCTTTGGAGGGAAGGAAGAGGAATTAATTCCCAAAAATGGCCACCCAGGCCAAACTCGATGGGGTGCCAACATCCGGGGACCTTTCCAGAAGGAGGAGGGCCCCCAGGCAGGCCCACGGAGACCTCTGTCTTAATTTATCCTGCTGGTGATTATATTTGTTGAATGGTATGTATTAGTTTCTTTTTTTTAATTGTCTTTTAATATTCTATAGTTTATCTTGTTGTTAGACGCCCAGAGTAGCCTGGTTGCCAGAGGGTACAGGGTATAAATCCAATAAATAATAATGATGATCCTGAGATGTTTCATGTTGTAAGGACCCCTCACGGTATGGGAAGCGGGGTTAAAAAATATTTCTGTGTGAAGAGCAGCCTGCATTTTGATTTTGTTTGTTTAAGTTTTGTTTAAGCTTTACCCTCATGTCCTTACTTCAAGTAGTTGGCGTATGTTAATGAACTTAAATCATGCTGTGTAGAAGTCAATATGCAAAATGCAACCGAAAGGAGACGGGGAACAGAAAGGCCCCATCCCGGCCCCCTCCCGCCCCCGAGGAGGGGGGGTAGTTTTGATCTCTTCTCTATTATTTATTTAGCTTTTACGCCCCCCCCAGACGGATCTCCTCTGCGCGGTTCCCAGTTCCCAGAAAAGGCAATAGGCGAGTGGGAACCTCTTTCTAGGCCCCCCCACTTAGGCACCACTCCCAACAAAGATACTCATAGGTTCTCCAAAGGGGTGGTGGTGAAATAAGGCCCCACTGTTCTACCTCCTGCAACTTCCTTCTAAATTTTTGCCTAACAATATTTTCCAGTCCTTGTTGTTGTTTAGTCTTTAAGTCGTGTCCGACTCTTCATGAACCCATGGACCAGACCACGCCAGGCGCTCCTGTCTTCCACTGCCTCCCGGAGTTTGGTCAAATTCATGTTGGTTGCTTCGATGACACTGTCCATCCATCTCGTCCTCTGTCGTCCCCTTCTCCTCTTACCTTCACATTCTCAACATCAGGGTCTTTTCCAGGGAGTCTTCTCTTCTCATCAGATGGCCAAAGCATTGGAGCCTCAGCTTCAGGATCTGTCCTTCCAGTGAACACTCAGGGTTGATTTCCTTCAGAATT